TAGCAATAAAATCCTTAATAATGTTGAATGAATGAAGTAAACTTTTTCAACTTCTTCTACTGCTGTGTGTTGCTACGTGACAAATAAAGTTGACAATACCGAAGAAAGAATTATAAATCTGATTGTGTGTGATAGGAGGAATGCAAGATGCTTGCGGGGAAGTTCAAATAAAAAATATTTTTGGTTTGTGATTCGCGATTTTAATTCTTGTATCAATTCATTCTCAATTCCGAAATGGAAATATGAAAATTTATCATATGAATAATAATCAAAGCATATTTATATGCAAAATAAGGACATTTGTAGGAGAACGTCGCAAGAGATCAAAAGGAATTTTAACGTGCAAACATGATTTTTCGAACTCTATCTGTATACGAGCTATTAAAAGGCACTCGTTGATATGAAAGTGTGTCACAAATTTTCATTTCCCTTCCTCTTGACTTGATTTAAAAAAATCAAATGAAAATTTTGCATTCAAGAGCAACGACCATAATCATCACCTTTTCTTATTTTTTTTTTTCATCTTACTTGCTTCGTCTTTTCTTGATTTTCATCAGCGACTTTGGTAATTCTGTATTCATGAAAAGAATTGCTCATAATTTTTCGTCAACATCGAAGGGTGGTGATGGAAATTTTCATTCCTGTGATTTTTTTCCTCATTTTCTATTTCGCATTCACTGTGAAAATGTTAACGAATTTTTCGCTACATTTTAAGAGTCACAGGGTAAAAATATTCATGAATTTATAAACAGTTTTAAATTAGAATTAGAATTTTTTGAACGTATGTTCATAAGGATTTTATGTTTCATGTGGATTTCATCTCTTGATCTCATTTTGATGACATATTTTGTGTTACAACATCAAATATACAAAGACAATCATGATTAGATTTAGATTTAGGTTAACAGTTTCTCAACTGCTGCATAACCTAATTCCATAAAAGTTTATTAAAATCCATCAAATATTAAAAGCGAAGTTCACACCTTGATGCACATTCCAATGTTGTCTATTCCCAAAAGGAAACAGCGCAGGAATATCAGATTGTATCTTGCATGTTTTGTGCATATTTTTTATAATAATCTCTTCATACTTTGCTGTGGCATTCCCATACATTCACTGAAATTTTTATTCCGCCGACATTATAACAACGTTGGTTATGCTGTTCAACAGCAAAAAAGTGAGCATAGAGAATAGAGATAGGAAGGAAGGAAATAATTTCATTGGAGGGTTGTCGTTAATGTTTATTTATGGATATAATAAACGTCAATTGTTAATATTTATTTGATTTGCATATGATAACATGAACAATGTATGTACATACATATTCATAATATTAATAATTTTTGCTATGAAAGTCAAGTGCATGTGGCAGTAGATGAGAGCTTTTAAATATCCCATCCTCCATAGTTTTTTGTTTCTATGCACACATATCCTTTTTGGAAGGTTAATTAAGCGAATCTATTGTTGCTATTAGCAACATTTTCATGCTCTATGGATAGATTGCTCCATATTATGTCATGTTATTCAGAATAATAACACAGAATGTTATTCGGTAAAAGTTTACAGGCACTTGATGTCAATAATCTATTAAAGGGATTTTCCTTCTTTCATCCGAGCTGTACACACATTCAACATACCATGTACATGTGTAAATACTTATTTCTACTTTCGGTATGTTCTTTTCTATACTTTCTTATTCTCATTTTATTATTCTCGAAACAAATTCACATCTTTATTCTTCTACTTTGTTTCTTTCTTTTATTTTATTTTTTTGTTTGCTTGTAGCCTGCGGATGTTATGGAACCCACATTTATATATGTGCTCTTAGTTGTTCAAGGTAAGGAAACATTTCTTGGTTGCTTTTTTGCTGTTATTTTTGATAATAGACAAAATCGAAACTGTGGTTTCAAAAAATATGTAGGAAAATCTGTCAGTGCTTAGACAGCTAACGAGAAATCTATAACCTTATTTTGTAAGGATGTGGGTCTTATTCCCCATCAGAACCAGATCAGATTTCTGAATAATTTCATAAAGTGTCAATCATATTATGATTTCTGGATATTAAATTTTTTCGATATCACCTTTATGAAGCTACACCTTGCGTGGACATATGAACAAATAATGCGGAAAACGAAAAGAGAAGAATGAAAAAACTTTTCCTCCTTGTAAATTGTTTCGCTCATTTCTTTCCTTTTTTTCCACTATGTTCATCGTAATCTTCTGCTATCAACACTTCTAAATAAAAATACAGCACAGAGTATTGTGCTTATTGGAAAAAATATGTATCTATAGATATATGCAATGTGTTACAAAATGATATTTAATTACAACAAATTTTCTCTTCGTTGTGTTATTGCTATTATTTTTATTGTGCTGATTTTTGCGAGACATATGTGTTGATGAATAGCAGCACACTTTTTGTCTAATCAAGTACATACTTTTTAGTCATGGATTTAATATTACTTCACAAACTTTCTGAATGAAGATGATTTTTTTTTTAGAATTTTACTGGATCTTAACTGCCTTGACTCAAATTTATCATTCACCTGTTCCAGAAATTACTCTGTCTATCTAAGAAGAGTCCGCTTTGAATGCGCGTAAAAAGAGTCAAACTCATTAATAATGAAGAAATCTTTTTTTCTTTTTCTACATTCTTACAAGCATAACTGGACAATTAGTCTTTGTCAAAATCTCATCCTTTTATGCGTCTACAAATTATTTAAGTATGTAATAATGTTGCTTAAGGATTTATATTTGTGCTAATTGGATATTGGATGATTGCTGAAATGTAATTGAATCCATTATTCATTGTGGCTATATACTGGAAATGTGATTTCTTATTATCATCCATTAAGAGGAGATAATTTCATTTTGTACATGCTGAACGAATACAATAGGATAAACTTTAAGCTAAATGACTATATATAAGAGCATTAAGCAAAAAGTCAGTTTGTATATAATAAATATAATAATATTCGTGTGTGTTGACGAGCATTAGGGCCACAAATCTTGAACCTTATTATTCAATTTAACACAGCATTAAGCTGTAAAATTGACTAATGAATTTCATCAATCTAATGTGAATCACATCGTCTCACTGTCGTGTGAATCTTCAATGGTTGATGCTCACAAGTGTGATTTGCCCGAGAGAAGCATGAAGCACCATAAAGACTTGTAGGCATTCAAAACTATCGTTCCATCTTTAATTTCAGAGAATATCTATTATTGCATAAAGTAACATAATAATGTGTAACTCGGGACCTGAATAGAAATGTATTAGCTTAATCTTCATTTCATTTCTCATTGTTGGTATCATTTCATCCTAATGCGAGTCTCGGAAAATAATTTATGCGGCACATACGGATGGAAGAGAATGAAATAGACAAAATAAAAATGGGAAATGAAAGACAGAACCGAAAAGAATACATAAAAACGAGACGAGAAGTGTGCTTCAGACACACTGACTGATAATGTGGCAATTCATTTAATTAATTCAAATTAGACAGAGTGTCTTAAATGAGCACACAGAGCATCTGGAAATGAATTTGAAATGAACATACACAGCGCGAGAGAGGAGAGACGTAGATAAGAAGAAGAGGATGACAGTAAGTAAAAATGCAAATTTATTAAGACATTAGGTCCACGCCTGCTGCTTTCAAATTAATTAATTAAATTAATTTTTCATTTTCTATCTGAGACTTTATTTCCATGATTATGACAATGATATTTCTTAAGTATATTGAGTGTTGATGTCTTTTTTATTGTTATTTTTTTGGGTATATTTCAGATTAGTGACATATTCAGTAAAAGATTATAGTTTTTGATGACAAATTTTAAAACCACTGCCTACACACAATAGCTTTTTAAGTCAATTACCAAACAAAAAAATTGCCTTGAAATTATGAATCGAAGCGAGAAATATGTTGCAGTATAATAACAATAATAGCACACAACTTTTTGTGGACTCTTTACGACAACTATTTTTCCTTTTGCTGCTTCTGATGATGGAAAACTTAAGACAAACTTTTTATTTTTTTAATGTTTAATGTTGCACAGAAAAAGCAATTTATTCATGCTACCAACAAGCCAGACGAAAATTAAAAAACTTTTCTATGAAACATCATTTCTTTCTTGAGTTTTTACTGCATTTTTTTACTATGGAGCTTTGTTGATGTCACCACTTTTGGGATTATTTGAGAACCCAGAAGCACTATTTGGTGTTTTTCATAAAATGTTTCTGACAAAAATGCATGACTTTAAGTTTTGTTTTGAGCAGTCAGCCAAAATTTTGGTTTCTCACTTCATAAATGATGTCCAACTTTTAGGGAGGTAAAGAGTCTATTCAAAATATTAGATTAGGAATTTAAAAAACTAAAACTTTTGATGAAGATCATTTATGAATGACGCCAAGGCGTGGACACTTAAAATTATGCTGGGATTATTTGGGATTATTGGGTTTATTTAGGACTATTGGAATTATTGAGGATTATGTGGATTAATCTCAGTGTCCACGCCTTGCCTAACACTATGCACAGAATTTTAAACACCATCGAGTATTGTGATGGAAAGTGTTTGTCGTTTACCTTCTAATCGTACTCTTATTTTCATGAAAATTAGTTTATACTGCTCTTCGCTTATGCTCTCAACATTATATCGTATTCAGCATAATATTGTACTGCATTCAATACACTCCACAAATTTCAAGTGCTTTAAAATGTTTACCATACACTTCATTGTTTCATTAAAAACAAAATGTTTGAAGTGTTAAATTTGGGGTGCTGTATATTCAATGGAGACTGTCGCTGTACACTTTATGTTTTGTCATTCAACTACTTACTAAGTTTTAGATATTTACATTACGTCATAAAGGAAAAAAAAAGTTTTTAATTTTGTTGTTTAATGCGAACGTAAAAATAACTTGAAGCTAGAATTTATTATATCAAGCTTTTGATTAAACCAATATTTTGCAACAAATCCCAAATATCCCATTTATACCAAAATAATCCCTGAACCTGTATGCATGATAATAAAGATATTCAGACTGATTTGACATATAATTTTAGGATTCGATAGGATTTCTTAATTTTAATGCATACAGGGTACTTTATGGATAATTTTGGGATAGTTTCTAGTACGTCATTAGTAAACGAACACTGAAAATTTTAATTAGCTAAAGAATGCCTCTCAAGCTTCAACTTTGCAGCTAGTTCTTTAGCTTCATCTCTTTTGATTTTTCCAATTCTAGTCAAAGGCATTTCATCAATGAAGAAAATTCCTCCTCTGGGCTGTTGGAAATGAGGAAGGTCACTTAAGGCTTCCAAAATAGTAGCCTCATTAATATTAGAGTCTGCGTTTTTAACAACTAATAAAGTTGGAATTTCCATTTCAATCGGATCAGGCAAACCAACAAGAACTACACGTTTTACTCCATGAATGGTATCAACTCTACTTTCAATTTCAAATGGATATACTTCATTGTAGATATTTCGAATGGCTTGTGTTCGTTGACCAACAATATTAAGCTCGTAAATGTCATCGATAAATCCCATATCTCCAGAATGCAGCCAGCCGTCATCGTCAAATTTGGCAGGAGGATTATTATTAAAATAACCCAAAGACTTAATCGAATGTCGAACTAAAATTTCACCGATTTCTCCCACAAAACCGGTTGTTCCATCATCCAACTGTATTTTTATCTCAATATTTGGTAGTGGAACTCCAATTGAAGTAGAATTTGTTGAACGTCCAATCGAAGTTGTGGTAATTCCACCTGTTTCTGAAATACCGTACGCAATTACTAATTTTCCGTTTATCAATTTTTTCTGGAATATTTTGCGAAAGGTTTCAGGAACTGCTACCCCACCAGTAACAAGCAAATCAAAGTTCCTAAAATTAGCATTTTCAAATCTTGGAGATTCAATTAAAAGTTTCAGAAGCGGAGTATACAAAGAAGCTTCGTTAATCTTGTATTTTTCAGCTAGATCAAAAAACAAATCTGCAGTAAATGGCTTGGATGTTACCAGACGTTTTTGTGCATTCAATGTTCTATGGACTACACCAATGATACCACTTAGCCAGAACATACTTGTAGGATTAAATCCAAATCTGTTATCATGATGATCTTCAACCCAAACGTATAGTTGCAATTGTTGCTGATGTGAAACTAGCGTGAGTTTTGAGTTTCCCGTACTCCCTGATGTAGATACAATATATGCTGGAATAATGGTCGTTGGTAGTTCGTAAATAAATCTGAAAAAAGGTGCAGATATAAAATTTAAGCAGCATTTTAATTTGAATCTTTTATTCTCACCCTTCATTTTCCATGCGACATTCAACAAACAAATCGTAAATGTTGATCAATCTACCAATTCGGCTTGTTAGAGTTACAATAAATGCATCACTTCTCATTGTTTCTAATGCAACCATAACATTTCCGACATTGTCATGGTCACAAAACACAATCTTTGGCTTAGTTTTACCAAAAGTATTCACAATTTGATTGACATCAAAAAATTTATCGATAGGATTAATAGGAAGTCTTAATAATAGACAAGCGAGAATCACTGGTGCAATATATGTCGTATTTGATGCACATAAACCCGCCACATCACCGCTTCTCAATCCAGTTTTATACATATTCCTTGCTATATTGATCATCATATTGGCAATTTGACTTCCTGTTAGTTCAATACCGTCATCATCATTCACTTGAAATATTTTTTGTGGATTTTTATGCAAAACATGCAGTACAACTTGCCCAACTGATGCAAATTTTTCATAAATTTGAGGCATTCGCTTGCCACTTAGAATTCTTTTTATTGGATCGTAATTAGCCATCTGTACAGTTTGAATACTAAAATACTAATGATGAACATTTTTTTTAGATATTTTGCTACTTTTGGACATTTTGAGCAGCAATCCTAGAAATTTCACTTTGTCCATTTTTGACAAAGAATTTTAGATCTAAAGCTTGTTGGTTTTTAACCCTGTAGCGATATCATTGAGGAGACAGCACGGAAGTGGGAGGAGAGATACATTCATCAATATACACACAACATGCAATAAATATTTTGTTGTCAGAAAATTATTAAAATAAAACGTTTCTGTTTAGTATATATAATTAAAAATAGTGTCCATTAGTTAATATATAAAGTCATTTAGTGATATAATTCACTAAAATATAGTGGTGATCAAACATCGTGTTAAGTTTTTATTTATATTTTTTGTATTTCAGTTTCGGAGTTTGATATCATTTTTTTCAATCCTCCGAAACTGCTACAACCCTTTAATTGATCTTATCAGGAAAGAGTTTCACATTTTTTTTTAATTAAATTTATTTTCGTGATTTATTGTGCTTAACAAAAGACTCTTTTAAGCATCTATTTCAGCTAATTATCAAACTTTCATAACTATTTTTAAAACCAATTGTTTCAATATTAACATTCAATACATCTGTAAAATAATTTTGTGGAGTGAAAAAGTTCCATTAGCTTCATTCGTTTAGGGATCGTTAAATTATGACGTCCGAAATTAACGGTCATTTTTCAAAAGAAAACAATGAATTTCTAGGAATTTCTATTGTACTTTTCTTCTTTTCTTCCCCCCCCCCCCCCTCCCCTCACTGGACGTAATAAGTGAACAGCCCCATTTCCATTGATAACTTTACATTAGTTTAGTTTTGAGAACTTAATTTGAAAGTTTAATGCTTTCTTGAATAATTTTTAATGAGCGAACGCAAGTGAGCACGGGTAGGACGTCTAATGGATTCGAATCCCTCCTCGAAAAATATTCTAAAATGAATTTTTATTCCTCAACATTTATTGGGTAACACAAAGGTGGGGAAGTTTTTTACATGAAATAATAATTTTGTTTTTCCGAAGCTTTACATTGTAGCCTAATCAATTTTTGGCCTTTATAATCATTAAGAGTGCAGAGGCTTAAACCCTTTTGGTCTTATTAAGTTCAGGCTACGCTCCTGATTATTAATTTCGTTACATTGTTTAAAGTTCACGAAGCTGTCTCTCAATTTTCATAGTAGTTGCCATTTCTTTTGCTTCACTTCTTTTAACTTTTCCAAGAGTGGTCAGTGGAATGCTTTCAACGAAGAAAATCCCGCCAGTTAATTGTTTATAATGAGGTAGATCTGTCAACACTGAACGAATAGAATTTTCGTCAACATCACTGTTTGGTTCTTTAACAATTAAAGCAGTTGCAACTTCAAATTCCATCAAATCAGGAGTTCCAACTACAACAACACGAATGACTCCATTAATATTTTCAATCATATTTTCTATGTCAAATGGATAAATCTCATTGTGGATGTTTTTAATAGCTTGACTTCTTTGTCCGACAATGTTAAGCTCATGGTTATCATCTATAAATCCCATATCTCCTGTATGGTACCATCCTTCGTCATCAATTCTTGCTCTTGGCTCATCATTGAAGTATCCTAGAAATCTGACTGGATGTCGCACTAAAATTTCACCAATTTCTTTGACAAAACCTGTTGATCCATCATCAAGCTGTACTTTTATTTCAGTATTCACACATGGAACTCCAATTGTCATTGTAATTGGTGAAGTAACAGCTTTTGACGAGATTCCTCCAACTTCTGATAAGCCATAGCCAATAACTAATTTTCCTTTTGTTAATTTACTAAAAAATATTTGTCTATAATACTCAGGAACTGCTACTCCACCAGTTACAATCATGTCGAAATTACTAAAGTCAGCACTCTCAAATCTAGGAGATTCAATGATAAGCTTAAGAAGCGGAGTAAACAAACTGCATTCATTAATATTGTACTTTTCAATAAAATTAAACAATAAATCCGGAGAAAATGGTTTAGCAGTAATTAAGCGCTTCTGAGCATTTAAAGTTCTATAAGTAACATTACTGAGACCATTTAGCCAAAACATACTCGATGCACAGTAACTAAATCTATTTTGAGCATGATCTTCAAACCAAGAATACAATTGAAGCTGTTGCATGTGAGAGATTAGTGCTAGCTTTGATCTCCCAGTACTGCCAGATGTGCAGACTATATATGCAGGTATATCGCGGGTTGCATTTTGATAAATGCTAAAACAAAAAAAAAATTACAAGTTTTAAGAATCAAAAAGGAACTAAATTATTTACTCGTCTAAGAAAATGTCGTAGTCAACAAGCAAGTCAGAAATATGAAGAATTCGTCCAACTCTTTCAGTCAATATTATAACAAGTGCATTATTCCTTAACGTCTGAAGAACTTCAATCACTTTTCCAACATTGTCATGATCACAAAATATAATTTTTGGATCTGTTTTTTCATAAATGCTAACTATTTCGTCAACTCCAAAAAACTTATCAACTGGATTTATTGGAAGTTTGAGAAGCAAGCATCCAAGGATGACTGGTGCAATATGAGTTGAATTTGATGCACATAACCCAGCAACATCGCCACTTCTGAGACCAAATCTATATAAATTTTTTGCAATATTGATCATCATGTTGGCGATTTCACCTCCTGTAAGTTCAATTCCATCATCATCATTCACTTGCAGTACTTTTTGTGGGTTTTTGTGTATCTCGTATAAAATGACTTGTCCAATTGACACATTTTGATGAAAAATTTGAGGAACTCGTTTTCCACTTAGGATCCGTTTTAGAGGATCAAAACTGACCATCGTCTGTACAGTTTAAATTAAAACTAAGCTTTAAATGTTTTCTGTTTTTATTTTAAAATATCATTGAATTGAATGGTTCTCCATTTGCAGGTGTTTTTTCATTGTCTGTAAGAATTTCCAGAAACTTTAATATTGATTTCCAGATATCTTATTAATTATTCATTTAATATAATGCTATTGAGGAATGATAAATGAATATAACAGGTTCGACGGTCGAATTATTACTGAAACAATGTTTTTTTTTTTAAAGAAATAAAGTTTTCTTGAAATAAAACTGTTTAAATAATTGAAACTGAATTGTCACAAATGTAGTCTGTTGCGTAATCAGTTGTGTTAGTACTTGTTATCAATTGTTTTATCACTGTGTGTTCCTACTTTTTATCTTCTTTGTGGGGTTTTTAGTAAACATTCACAAAAAATTAATTTTCTAAATTCATTCTTTGCATTTTGAGTTGAACAGCCAGTTCCTTCGCTTCATTTCTTTTTATTTTATGTGTACTATTTAAAGGCAGCTCATCCACAAAGAATATCCCTCCATTAAGTCGTTGATAGTGTGGCAAGTCACTTACGGCTTCATTTATTAAATCTTCATTAACATCGCTGTTCTTGTCTTTGACTACTAAAGCTGTTGGAACATACAGTTCAATTAAATCTGGAGTTCCTACTACGACAACTTGTTTTACACCCTGAACTGCTTCTATCCTATTTTCAATTTCAAATGGATAAATTTCACAATGAAGATTTTTGATGACTAAAGTCCTCTGACCGACAATATTGAGTTCATACTTTTCATCGATGTATCCCATATCACCTAAATTTTATAGAATATCTTTAGGATTGGTAAATAAACGTATGTATATATATAAAAGTACCTGTATGATACCAATGATCATGATCAACTTTATTTGACGGTTCATTATTAAAATAACCAAAGAATTTTACAGGATGCCGTACAAGAACTTCACCAATTTCTCTAATTCCACCTGTTGTTCCATCATCAAGTTGAATTTTCACATCAGTATTTAAAAATGGAGCTCCCACTGACGATGTTGATGTCGGAGTAATAATTTTTGTGCTTACTCCACCCGTTTCTGATAATCCATAGCCCACAACAAACTTTCCATTGACTAACTTCTCTCGAAAAATCTGACAAAAGCGAAGTGGTGTAGCAAATCCACCGCTAGATATCATGTCAAAACAACTAAAGTCTGCAGTCTCAAATTTTGGAGATTCTACTAAAAGTTTCAAGAGTGGTGTATACAAGCTAGCTTCATTGATTCTGTACTTTTCAATCAAATCGAAAAATAAATCAGGCGAAAATGGTTTGGCTGTAATCAACCGTTTCTGGGTATTTAATGTCCTAAATACAATATGAGCGAATCCGTTTAGCCAGAATAAACTTGCTGGACAGTAACTGAACTTGATTTCAACAATATCATCAAACCACATGTAAAGTTGTAGCTGTTGTATGTGGGATATCATAGCTAGTTTTGGGTTACCAGTACTTCCAGATGTACACACAATGAATGCAGCAATCAAGTCGGTTGGAATATTGTACATGAAGCTGTTAAAGATCAAAAAATATTGGCATTAGAATACGGCAACGTTAAGCGATTGTCTTCCATTTTGATTAAAATATTTTTACTAACCTGTCATCATCAATAAAACAGTCACGCATAAGGTCCGATATATGATTTAGATTTCCAACTCTTTCTGTCATTGTGACAATCACTGCGTCACTTTCCATCTGTTCCAAAACTTCCATTATTTTATCAACGTTATCGTGATCGCAAAAAATAATCTTTGGCTTAGTTCTTCTATAAATATTGATAATTTCGTAAGCTTCGAAAAGCTTATCAGCGGGATTTATAGGAAGTCTTAGCAATAAACATCCAAAAACCAGTGGGGCAACATAAGTTGTACTGGATAGGCAAAAACCAGCGATATCTCCACTCCTTAAACCGAGTCTGTATAGGTTTTTTGCAATATTTGACATCATTTCTGCTATCTGTGTGCTGGTAAGCGAGATTCCATCATCGTCATTGACTTGTAAAATTTTATGCGGATGATAACTCAACACGTGCAGTGCTACTTGCCCGACTGAACTAAATTCATGATAAACTTGGGGAACTCTTCTTCCACTTAAGATTCGATAAACTGGATCGTAATTTGTCATTGCTTCTTCAAATTTAAGTACTCACTTTGTAATATGACGCGTGGGAATAATTATAATTATTTCACTGTCAATGCCGTTATACTTTCAAGCACTGATTAATTATTAATATCAAAAACTTAAACTCAAACTAAGGCAATAAAAATTGTTCGACGCGTAAATAGAAAATTGAAAATGATGCGTAGCCGACGAAAGTACAAAATATAATAAATTTTATTATCGACAAACTTACTGTAAAGAGTAATGGAAATAAGCACGGTTCCAACTGTTTAAACACTAATACAAGAAATAAAGAGTGTTCCTTTATTTATTATCTTGTTGGAAACATTCAAAAACGTGCTTACGAAAAAGCATGTGAATAAAAAGAATAACCAAGGTCATTAAACCTATAGAAAAATTTAGGAAGGATATTCGTGAGATTTCAGACAGATTGATTTGTATAAAAAAAATATTAATTTAAAGGAACTCGATGACATGTTTTAAAATATCACAAATGACGCCCAATGATCAGGGCCTGATTTTTTATCAGGTATTCTCTTATCATTTCATTAAACCGACTCCTTTTAAGTTCCTTGCTAGTTTGTAACTTTTTTGGGGTTTGGTAAATTCAAGAACAAATGCCAAGATTACTCAGCAAAACATTTTTTAAATCAGTGAACGGTGTATGCATCTTAGATTCAGAAAAATTTTATTTATACAGTATAAAGTAAATTACCTTAGTGTGTCTCGGGTAGGATGGGGGGAAGAATCCCCGAAAGATATTAATTCCACGATTCAGCGAGATACTAACCCCGAAAAACGCAAATTTTTAAATGTTCCCTTCGGGATAATATTCCCACTTAGAAATACAAATTGACAAAAGGAAAACTATGAGCTTACCAAGAAATAACTTAGTGACTAAATATAATGAATTGTGTCATATCTTTGAGCAGTATGGTAATGCAAAGGCGAAATTATTTTATCGCAAATTACAGGTGAAAAATATCAATCATGCGTGGAAGATAATTAATGAGCTAACTGGTAGAACAAAAAAATCCAACGTAACTATTATAAGGGATAATAATAACGAGTATGTAACGAATCCAGTCAAAATTGCCAATGCATTCCAAAAGAAATTTATGGAAATTAATGAAACAAAAACCTCATCTATGAATTCACACAGTTATAAAGGCAAGTTAATCAAGGACACCTTCTGTTTTGAGGAAATCACACCTGACTTAATTTCCAATCATATTGCTTTACTGGATGAGAATAAATCGTGCGGTATCGATGGAATTAATGCCAAAATCTTGAAATGCTGTATGGATGAATTGTCACCTCATTTAGCAAACATATTTAATCTAATCATCAAAACAGGAATATATCCAGACAGACTAAAGGAATCTACAATAATCCCTGTTTATAAAGGAGGTGACGCACTAGACTGTGGCAATTATAGACCGATCAGTCTGCTTCCCCAACTGGACAAGATTTTTGAAGCTATTATTTATAATCAATTAAGCAAGTATCTTGAGATCCATAAGATACTTGATCCATTGCAATATGGTTTTAGACAAGGACGTGGATGTAATGATGCTATTGGAATGATGTTAAATCATATAAGTAAACTAATTGAGTCTGGGAAAAGTGCATTAGTAATCTCTCTTGATATTTCCAAAGCTTTTGACTCAGTGGATCATCGGATACTTTTAAGAAAACTAAATTTTCTAGGCATTAGAGGCCCCGCATATGATGTCTTTAGCAGCTTTTTAGCGAATAGGAAACAAATAGTGAAATTTAATCAGGAATTTAGTTCATCAGAAATTGTCGAGCTTGGCGTTCCACAAGGATCTAATCTAGGCCCATTATTATTTAATTTAATGATTAATGACATCTGCGCTCTCTCAATGAACTCCAAAATACTCAAATATGCTGATGATATAGTTATGATTCTCACACTTGATAAGAAGACCCCTCATATCAACATCAACAACTTGCAATCTGATATTAGCACAATAATGAAATACTATAATAGTAACTCACTTAAATTGAATTTAATAAAATCTAAATACATGCTGGTAGGAAATAACGCTCATGAGGAGTTGGAAGAAATACTAGCAGAGAATCAAATAACAAAATGCACTGAACTAACTTACCTTGGTGTAATAATTGATGCGGAGTTGAAATTTGCTAGTCAAGTCAATAAGGTTGCTAGATCAATTGGATCTGCTGTTAACGCACTTCGATATTTAAAGACTGTCTTATCACAAGATGCACTGATAAAATTTTTTCATGCTCACATACAGTCTCACATCAACTATGCTGGTTTTGTATTTATGCGCTGTAGATCAATAGACATCGAGAGACTTCAAAGACTGCAAAATAAAGTGTTGAAAATTATTTTTGGACTGCATGATATGCACTCAACAAGCGAACTTTTTAAAACTGAAGCCAAATACATATTACCTGTTTCTGGATTGATTTATTATTCATCAATTATCATGACAAGAAAATGTGTCACATCATATGATGGTTCCTTGCCGAGGATCAGCAGACTTAGAAGCTTAAGAAAGAGTGACTTATTACTGACATCAGCTAAGAAGAAAGTATTAATTGATGATTTGACTCACTATGGTTGTAAACTATACAATCAACTTCCGAATGAAATAAAAACCGAAAATGTCTTCCTACTTTTCAAAAAGGATGTTAAGCAGTTTCTGCTAAGTCGTAATGTATCGCTAGTCAAGTCTGGTCAATTCAGTTCTAAGAACTTCTATATTTAAGTTCACTTCTCGCATTTTTAATTATCAATTTTTTTTTCTTTTCTTTTGTTTACAAACAACTAAAAGTCTACAAAAGTCAAATTGAACGTAGTCTAATGCCCTGCGTGGATGACTTAACCAAATTTCATTCATTTACGTGTCAACAATTATTCAATTGGATTATAAAATTAAATTATTGCATATTTGGCTACTGAGGATGTCTACAGTCATAGATGATGACGTCCTTCAAATTTGTGCTAGCCATGAGGATCTTTTAGGCGAAACTGATGATGCCAAGTATTTAAATTCAGAAGTTGTTGTGCTTAAATTCATAAATAAGAATGGGAGTAAAATAATCTCGTTCACTGGATCAATTCACAAGCTACTGATGGACAATAATGTAAAAATTAAAGGAATTTACTGGAAAGGAGATTATACGTGTCTCATCGAGGTCCTATTGACTGATTTCCTTGAAATCTTTCTGATAGCACTGGTCGGAGCACGTAATAACTCTCGTACAGTAAGTGATAAGACGAAGAAGGACATTCTTAAAAACTGCTTTGGTAAGTTCAGTATTATATTACTGAATGAAATAATATGCATGATCGTGGTGCCTCATATTAGTGAAAAATTGATCGAATGCAAATCTACTTATTATCCCTTTGGTCATTGCACTGGTAATGTCATCAATCTTATAACTAATTGCCTAAAAGAGAGTCCGGAGCTAATTGTCAAAAAGATTATTAAGGAATTGAATAACGGCAATAAATTAATTGAAATCTACGGATATCATATTGAGTGCTCTGGAAAGTCTGATTATGCTTTGAGATTTTTCATCAAGACTAGTAGCATCAATAATAATGTTATGAGATCACTGAATGCAGCTTTTGGCTCATTGTCGTTCTGCTCGTCAACTCTACATCTCATTCCTGAAGTAAAGAGTAGCGAATTCTCAAATGCTATGAACAGCTCGTTAAATTCGAAGCAACTTTGGTCTGCCTTGTCTGAAATCGATGTTTTAAACTGCAATTCCAATGAGCAAGCTTTAGCAATGAAGAGAAATACTCCGACTAATGTGAACTTAACTCCAAAACCAACTGATCGTAAGAAAATAACTGCTACTTCGTCACAGAGCAGCTCATCCATTTTCAGCAGACTTGGACCAAGAATTGATACTTACCGGTCACATTTATCATCGGATACACACCCATACGCGAGAACTTATTTAAATCTCCAAATAACAGCACGATTTAGTACATCATCTTCTTCGAAAACCTTGAAATCAAAATCTCGTCACTGAATGAATTCTTTATCCCTCCTTTATTGAATTGAAATAATATTTCTGGAAGTAATGACCTCTTAATTCTCCTGCCTCACATGACTTCTCTCTCTTCACTTGTGTAATCTATGAATTAATGTAACTGAATTACTTTTTTTCGTCTTTTTTTTTTTTTTTTGTTATTAGATGGTTTTAATCACTTTTCTATCCATTAATTATGTAATTACTATATTTTTATACAACCGTTTAAGGTTTAATAAATTTGAATTTGAATTTGAAAAAGAACAAATGCCAAGATTACTCAGCAAAACATTTTTTAAATCAGTGAACGGTGTATGCATCTTAGATTCAGAAAAATTTTATTTATACAGTATAAAGTAAATTACCTTAGTGTGTCTCGGGTAGGATGGGGGGAAGAATCCCCGAAAGATATTAATTCCACGATTCAGCGAGATACTAACCCCGAAAAACGCAAATTTTTAAATGTTCCCTTCGGGATAATATTCCCACTTAGAAATACACGTGGAATTATTATCCTTCCGGGAAGATAATAATTACAGGGGGGGGGGGGGGGTACAGAGCAAAAATTGCTAAGCCCAAAAATGTTTACTGTGATGAAATTTCCAAGTACTCCACAAACGAAATTGAAAAGTCAAATTTAAAGAAATATGCTTTCTGTAAGCAAGCAAACAAGCAAATTAATCAGCAAGAAATCTCAATAACGAGACATTGTAGAGACTTCTAGTTTTTTATATTTGATCCGTGCTGCTCTATAGAAGAGCTGTATTGTTTTTAAGGCAAGGTAGGAACAGCCGTTGCTTCAGAAAAAGCAAAAAACTTTCCTTTCTTACGAATTTTTCAAATTAAAAGTTCACTGTGATTTTTTTAAATTAAACTTTGGATGAAATCAATTTTGTCACTTTTTCCTTCGAGGCAGGGGCGTAGCCAGAAAATTTTTAAGGGGGGGGCCCATTTTCGAAAATTAAAAAAACCGTTATTTTGTATCCTTAAATCTATATTCATTCCTCATAAGTTTAAATATTTAATTCATTATTCATACATTAAATTTGATTTTTCGTGCTGATTTTGACATTTCTTTCATCACTTCCTCTACATTAACTGGTTCTTCTCTATAAATACTTAATAAAACAATTATCAGATTTTCGTAGGGGGGGCCCGGGCCCCCTATGGCCCCCCCCTGGCTACGCCCCTGCTTCGAGGGTTTATCCAAATGGATCAAAACTTTGCATAAATATTCAAGTGCTTAAAACAAATATAAATAAAACATTTTAAAATTTTTTTGAGCAAACAACCAAGCAGGAAATACATTTTAAATTTTGGACTAGGGGCGACCCTAGTCAAAATCAATTTTATCACTTTTTTCTTCGAGGGTTTATCTAAATGAATTGAAACTTTGCATAAATATTTAAATGCATAAAACA